TACATGGCCATGCATATCTGCATACTGAATCCAAAACACATTGTTATCTTACATTTATTGCACTTTATTTTGCTAAAAATTAACTTTCCTTTCTTATTTTTCCTGTTCTTCTGAGGCACTGGTGATGTAACCGGTAATATTGCAAAGGAAACATGGGGGAGTGAGACTACAAAAGTAAGGTAGAACATAGCTCAGCCATGCAAGACAGAATTGTTTTGGTTGTGCAGCTAGAAACACCTACATCAGGCTCAGGAAGCACAGGTCTGTGAAGAGTCGAATATTCCACCTCTGGGATCCCGTACTTGTTATAGTCCCCACGGTGGAAATTAAGTTCCTGGCTAGGAACCCTTTAGGAGTCTTGTCTCTGAATCACAGTTTGCTGGTGGAAAAAGTAACTGTGGCACATGCTACACCTGAATCTATTGATGTCTGCAGCATAAGTTGTTGTGTGCCTGTGTTATGGGGTCTGCTATGGCAACCTGAAATAGCCAATAGCAGAATCTAGCCAGCAGATAAATGGGGCGGGGTTGTTGCTATAGAATTAATAGTAATTCTCAAGCAACCAGAAACTACAGTTTACTGTATTGCCAATGTGCCCCACATCATAGGTATTACCTATACCTCCCAACATTGAGGGACACCTTCCAGCACACTGTATTTAGGCATTGGACACATCCCTGTCATTATGTGTGTGTGCCCCCGCCACCCCCACCCCCACTCTATGCAGACTGTTAAGGATTTTTATGCCAAAAAGTATCGGTTAACCCGGAATAGATTTTTTTTCACCATTACTTTTCCTTTTGGTGCAGAAAACACTTTTGGTAGTTCAATAGTACATTTTCATGTACATCAGACCAAAAAGTGTGATTCCAAAGCCAAATAAAGATCCAGGGGAAGTAACTAACTATAGGCCAATATCATTAATTAATAATGATATTAAGTTTTTATCTAAAATCTTTGCGAATAGGCTTAGTAGATTTTTGGGTAACTATATTCACCAGGACCAGGTAGGCTTTATTCGAGGTAGGCACTTTTTTTAATGTTCATATATTCTCTTTTTTTTTTTTATTGGTTCTTTTAATTTATTACTGAAACTGTGTTTTCAGATACTCCCCTTCTTGTTGGGGGCCTTGTACGACCCATTCAGAGGGATCCAATACCCACAGATTGGGTGACTAACAGCGGTTCTTACAATGGCAAGAGAGAAAATTGAATTTATTCGACCCCCCCATTCTATAGCAGGTATGATGAGGATTTAGAATCATGTTGCGGGGGGCTTTGGTATTATATTAACACATTAGATAGAGGTAAGCATTCTTTAGCCCTGTTGCTGTTGAAGGACCATTGATTGTGATATAATGCTTGTTTAGGATACATATATTTTATGTTTATATAAGGATATTGCGGTCTATGAGTGGAACTGTATAAGTACTGAAAACCAATAAAAACTTTGAAAACACATCAGACCAAAAAGAGGAATAACTTAGCAGGAAAGAGGGACAGGGGGATTTGGTTACAAATGAGGGACAATTGGGACGTATGGTATTACCATATGTCGTTTCTTATGTCATATGTTCTTTTAAAGCCTCTTAGCTACATCTAGACTGGTCCTACACTTTGTACTATTTTCTGCTGATAAAACTAATCCGATCAACACTAGCGGTAACTGCAAAAGACAACAAGCATCAGCAACAGCTACTATGATTTTACAGCATGCTGAAAATGTTGTTCCCGATTGTTCCTACATTGCTTTTTCCCTGAGCATAGGGCAAAATATTCTGTACATGGATTTAATAAAACATTATGCTTTCTGTAAAAGAGAGCAAGCAATACAGTATAACCTGAAGATTTGATATTATCCCAAGAAAATTGCACATCTCCCATCAGCTCGAAACTTTAGGTTTCTAGTATTGTTAGTGGAAAAAAATAGAAGAATAACACATAAAAAAGAAACAATCATAGAGGAACTACTTGCATACTGTGTTAGAATGTGTGATAGTATGCTGTATGCAGGAAAAGGCCTGTGGCACATCTAAGAGACTATAGTCAACTAGAAATAATGTTCCTATTTGTTGTCTCAATGGATTCAAGATAAGTGATAAAATTCAAAGTCTGAGCAAGTGCATACAGAGAGTTATATTTTTGGAGGAAGGTAGTGTAAAAAAAAGTGAACAGGATGGAGAGAGAAAAACGAGAAGCAGGAAAAAAGAGAGAGGGAAACCAAGGTAAAGGAGTAAAGAGAAATGCAGAAAGGTATAGATATCGATAAGGGAAAGGAAAGGAGACTGATGGTAAACCTAGAAGTCTGATCATTGCTCACAAAAATGTAAGTGAAGTGGCTTATATGAGCTATGAAATGTCTTCAGAACAAGTCCAGTAGAATGTGACCAACTACTAATAGATAAACCATGACCTGGATAACTTAGAACCTTCACAGACAAGTCAAGAACGTTTTTCGAACCAACAAGAATACATTCTTTCTGTGGCAGAACATATTTGTATACCTTATGTGTACCAGAGGTATCAGACTGTATTCTATACAAACCCAGATAGCAAGGATAACTTGCCACAAACTTGTGTCAGGGTTAAATTGTAATTCTTGTTAACTTGCTGCACACATTCCTGGCAAGTTGTAGACTTGCAGAGCACTTGCAGCACAACTTCTAGTTGACACTTTTTGAATTTGTAGCAAATTTGCTTGGCAAGTCTACAGTAAGAGTCCTGCAGGTCTTAGCAAGAGCTCTGCAAGCTCGCTGGTCTGGAGACTTGCAATGCAGACTTGCTGTAATTGTGCAACAAAATTGTAAAGCTTGGCAAGTCTGCAATAGTTTAACAAGTCATTTTCAAACTTGCAGCTCAATTACTTGCTATCTGGGAAAGATGTTTTATATCATTCATTGGCATAAAAACTCAAAATCAGCACTCTTCTATGAAAACAAAGCTCTTCTACTTGAACAGAGGTCACTTATGAAAATATATGGACTGTCTTTGTATATTGTTGGAAGCAGTGGCAGTATACTATTGTTTGTATGTTTATATGATTTGAACATCTCCTTTTGTCTATTATATGTACAATTTGCCTATTTATTGTGATTTTTCTAAATGATTCTAGTGCTGTTGTACAATAAGGCAGTATTCTGTATAGAAGACACCAGTTTGCCAGTAAAGTGTCTCTTTAAATGATCTACAATGTGTGGCAATTGCAGAGGTAGATGGCTGAAAGTGTAGACGTATAAGCTTAGAGAAAGGACAAGCAATCCAGTGTGGTTGACAAGGGTATAGACCCAAAACCTGCACTGGTATCCTTGAAGCTCTCCTTAGACACCTGCCATAGTAGAAATTAGTTTACACTTACTGCAATAAATGGTAAACAAATTTATATACTCACCTAAGACCTGGAGGATGAGCATCACCAATGGACACATGATGGACATTAGCATAGTACCTGTTGGATCACACAGTGGGTGCATATGTATGGGGAAATGGATCTGAAGAAAGCAGCAATTATTCTCTGTCATTTATACCCTGATAAGCAAACAGGTTCTTTGTCTGAATGTTACACGTGTTTGTCCCCAAGCAATGTTACATTGTGTACCTTACGCCTGGGGATGAGAGTTACTGTTGGCATTGATGTAAGAATGTCAGCGTATGGTACCTGTCAATCAAGCAGTAGAGAAGGGACTTCTCATTTGTCTCTAGCATTACATCACTATTATTTTCTTCTTTTTCTTCAACTGATATTTATAGTTGTGTGCTTACCCTGTACGATGTGATCACCAGTATGACTTATACTAGCTAAATCGCTTTTCCAGGGTTTCCCAATGTATGTACTGTGCATCATTGATGGCATTCATACTTACTGCTAGGGGAACTTGTGCACCCTTAAAGGAAAACTATGAGGTGAGTGATTTCCACTCATCCTCATAGTTAGAGCCGCCCTGTGAAAAAGATGCTGTCACAGGTCGGCTCTATTGATCATGAAGTGAACGAACACATACCGTCACTCGCTCACTTTCCGATCATCTCCCTGCAGAGAGCCGTGACTGTCAGTTGCCCCTCCCCGCAGGGATTCAACCCTCCCCTCTCCAATCCAGCGCTGACTGGCGGAACGGACGGAGAGGGGACGGGCACAGCTGGCTCTGCCTCTAGATAGGCAGAGCCAGCTGTCACTCACGCAGCTGGGTGGATCTCGACAGTATTGTCAGGATCCGTCCCGGCTGTGGCGTTCCCAGTATATCAGGGGCAATGGCCCGCGATATACTGAGCTTTGGGTCATGGGAGAAGGTTAGTATATGTCCTCCCGTGACCCAAAAGAGAACTA